CTACTCACAATACCAAAAGAAAAAATATTTAGCGGTAATTAAGTTAATGGTATTGTATTCAGAATCACTAAAGCTTTCAGTGATACTTACATAGAGTGTTGGTTATAAAGACACACATTTATTATTGCCGCTAAATATAATATAACAATAATTATTTTACTGTCGTTAAACAATTAAAGCAATTTTATTTATTTATTTGTTGTAAAATGAGTTTATGTAAAAATATGACACCTGAACCTAACTCAACATCAAAAGTTAGCTCTTAAATTTTTTTGAGAAAATGGTCTAAAACCGCGCCAACCTATACCCGAAATCCCAACTACACACTCCAACTTCACGGGTGTCCTATTACCCCCCCTGAACTTCATATTTCTCTATTTTCTACACACTTAAATGTTGACCACAACACATTAACCAAACAAATATTCCAACGTGATTGCACGCACCGGGTCCCCCACTTCTTCAACTCCCAATTTCTGTTTTTTCCCCCATTTCCCTCTTAAAGCGTAAAAGACCCAAAAAAAAATATCCTTTCTCTTTTTCATCTCCTTCTCCATTTGCATATGCATTTCTGTTGATGATCGAAGGATTTTGTTGTGTATTTTCAACTTGATTTCGTAGTTTATCAACTGATTTAGTAAAAGGTTAGTTCTTTATCCCTTATTTCGAGTTTTTTCTTTATTCCTTAGGGTTTCTGTTGATTCGTGAAATTAAGAGCAACATTGGGTCTGATTCATCCATACAAAGCTTATTTAAGTTTTCATTTGCCATTTTTGATGAATTTCAAGAAAATTCAAAATTCAAATTAGAGACCTAATTAAGAAATTAGAGCAGATTACAAACCCTAAATTCAAGATTTGAAGTAGAAATGAACATAAACAACTAAATCCTACTTATTTTTGAGAGAAAATCGTGAATTTTTTATAAAAGGAACAAGGGTTAATGGTGGGGAAGAAGAAACAATGATTTATTTAATGGTGGGGAAGATGATCGTTGGAGAAAGAGAAAATTTTCGTCAAAATTTAAGGTGTTCTCACCTTCTAACGTGCCTAGAGGAGGTGTTCTCACCTCCTATGACATGTCAGTGTTTAAGTGTGTAGAAAATAGAGAAATATAAAGTTTAGGGGATAATAGAACACCCGTGAAATTGGAGTGTGTAGTTAAGATTTCGGATATAAATTAGAAAGATTTTAAACCATTTTCTCAAAAAAATATTGTCCAAGTCCATATATAATAGCTAAGACGACTAAAATAAGTTTTGGCCTTACCCAAAGATGTGTCAATTGGAGTAGGACAAAAAACTATCACATGTGGTGGGTTATGGAATGCTGAAGGAGGTGGGGAGATAAAATTAATTGTTTTTTGTTATAAAACCAAAGTGAATAAGACAAGAATATTAAAGATGAAAATAATAGTACAGCAAAACCTCTCTAAATTAATATAGATTGAACTATAAATTATTATTATTTTATAAAGGTATTATTTAATCGATAAATTAATATTTATTAGTTTGAAAAGTGTTTCGACATCGGAAAAATTATTCAAGAATGAAGTCTCATAGAATTTGAAAGAATCCACTTGTAAAAACATCGTTCATGAACTTAAGATCATGATTAATGATTTCGGTTACCGCAACAAAATGGACGTTAATAACTTATTGGATGGGTGAAAATGATACAAGTTAAGAGGTCAAGAGCTTAGAACAAATTGTGGATATCATTAGAAACACAATGTTGATGATACAATACATTTGGAACCAGTTACACGTAAGGAAACACTTGCATCTAGAACTCTTCACAATTTTATGGTGCAATTAGAAAAGACAATACTGAAACTTTTGCATGCAATAAGAAATTTTAACTGATATAATATTTGTTTTTTCATAACAAGTAAAATAAAGAGACTTTTTGAAGAATCTTTTATTTCTTTAATATATAACCATATGAATTCTCGCTTATTTACACATTATAATTGAATTGAAATGGCCAACCGATTATGACAATTAATATTTGTTTTGGTAAACCTAAGACAAATTTGTATAATTTGCAAATCACATACCGACCTTAATGTGAACATTCCACTGCTAGTCTAATCAAAGTCTAGATTCGAAATTTATTAGTTTAAGCTTACGAGTATTTTGAATTATTAAAACAAAGTTTTTCTACTCGAAATGACAAATATATTTGCAAATGGATAAGCATTTGTCAGTTGATATTTTCGGGTTAATTTAAGACCGAGGCGATTAATAATAGATTTTAAATATTTTCTTTATCTAAATTTTGTGGAATCGAGTGAAAGATGGAGTTATATTTCATTATATTTTTTTTGCATATAATAATAGGAATAATGTTCATACATCAATATATCTAAATACGATTTCAAAAGTGAAGAATAAATTGAAAAACATTATTTTCCAAATTAAAAATAGGGAAAATGCATAAGTACCCCCAGCCTATGTCCAAATTCCTGAGACACACCTAACCTTTACTAAGGTCCTATTACCCCTCGAACTTATTTTATATATAATTTTCTACCCCTTTTTGGCCTATGTGACACTATCTTGTGGGCCCAACGCGTGTTGACAATTTTTTCAAGGATAGTGCCACATAGGCCGAAAAGGGGTAGAAAATTATATATAAAATAAGTTCGGGGGGTAATAGGACCTTAGTAAATGTTAGGTGTGTCTCAGGGATTTGGGCATAGGCTGGGTGGGTACTTATGCATTTTCCCTTTAAAATATAATTAAATTTAAAATTTTCATTATCCAACACTAATATTTAAATAAAATAAAATTTATGTTAAAATAAATAAATAATTTTTATTACCAGTTCCTTTATTTAACGGAGAGATTCTTAGGAAGGTGGCCAATTTGATTAAAGTATTTTTGATAGAATTATTCTTACTATTCACCGAGGCGGCATATCGGTTGGTTCGATTTTAAAGTTTATTGGTTTGACTTATCGGTTATCAGTTTGTAATCATTAAGAACCATTAAAATATTGACTTATCGATTTATCGGTTATTGATCGTTATCGGTTTGGTTATCGATTTAACCGTTAAGATTTGACAGAAAAAATAAATAATTTAAAATCACTTAGAAACATGGTGACAAACCAAATAAACCATGCACATGAGTTGATAGATTATATCTTGCTAAAAACAACACCAACACATTGTAGAATTAATAACTGAAAATTTGAGACTGCCAGAAATAAAAATATGAAACTAAATCCTAAGTCAAGAAGTTTATATACTGAATGATATAAATATAATTTATTAATTTACTATTGGGTTAACATTTAACCTGTTAAGAGAAAACCTCAAACCGTTAAGAATGATAACCCGATAATAGAAAAAATTAAAACCGTTATCAAACAGCCGTTAAATCAATAGCCCAATACCGATAAATCAATATCTTTTTTTTTATTCAAATTATCGATTTTGATTCGATTTTGAATAGCCCTACCTGACATAGAGTATAAAAATGTATTAAACTAGTCTATTTTAGATCTAGACTTTGATAAACCAATTGAAACTTCACTTTTTAATAGATGTGTCTTTGCGATTTCGATTTTAGTCTAGAAATATTTGTGTCTTATTATCAGAACAGGGCCCGTCTCACCCGATGTTGGGGCCCCCAAAATCAAAAATTGACCCACGCACCAGATGTTAAGCACTGGGCGTGAGGTGGGATGTTAAAAGAATGACAAAAGTCCCACATCAGTGGTTAATGAGATGGGTGGACTCCTTATAAGGCTTGGATAATCCTCCTCCCTTTGAGCTAGCTTTTGGGGTGTGAGTTAGGCCTAAAACCTAATTTAACATGGTATCAGAGCAGGGCCCGTCTCACCCGATGTTGGGGCCCCCAAAAATCAAAATTGCCCACGCACCAGATGTTAAGCACTGGGCGTGAGGTGGGGTGTTAAAGAATGACAAAAGTCCCACATCAGTGGTTAATGAGATGGGTGGACTCCTTATAAGGCTTGGATAATCCTCCTCCCTTTGAGCTAGCTTTTGGGGTGTGAGTTAGGCCTAAGACCTAATTTAACACTTATCCAAAAATAATATAATACAACTTTGAAGTGTGAACTGCATCCAACTATCGAAATAATTTTATATAGCTTTTCTTATGGTGAGTTGGTATTTAAAATTATAAAACGAGACCTCGATTCCATTAGTTTTTCATAAAATATGATAAGCCAAAATAATCAATAATCAACTGAAGAAATTGATATTAAATGGTTGCATAAATCGATGAATAATTCGTACTCTAATATAATGCAACTGTTAACTTCATCCAGCCGTTGATACCATTATTTTATTTTTGGTTATTTGAATTTAAAATGATAAAATTAATGGAATCTTAACATCAGCACATTCTATTGGGGGAAGTGGTTTTGTATACTTACAAATTTTTTGAAATTTTTTTATGGTTGTTTTATAAGAGATTTTTACTTTTACGAATAAGAGATGAAAAAGACAATTTGCTTCTATCCAAAAAATCTCACTAGAAACATTAGATTTGTTTTTTATTAAAATTTTAAAACGCGCAACATAATAAACTGTATTGAGCACGAAATAGACGGAAAAAAAACCCATAATTTTCACCTTAAAAAATTGCACTAGACTTTTGAAATAAGACCAAAAAGTAACATAAACTACAAAATATATACTTTTCAAATGTGAGATCCAATTAAATAATTTTTTTTCTTATCTTTCCCCGTTCCAATTAAATTTAACATTTAGAGTTTGGAAAATATCCGATATAAAAATAAAATAAAATTAGACACGCACTTTATCGTTAAATTACTCATAGCTAACAAATATTTTTGATAATTCGTCACTGAATAGGATTAACGACGAATTTTATTATTTGGCTATTGAATTCGTCTATTGCTAATTCGTTTACTTAAAGGACCAAAAAATTGTTTTTCGATACTTAAAGGACTATTTTGAGCCTACTAATAAAGATAAAGGGATCAATTTTGTCATTTTGTGTTGTTGTATGGCCATATATTCAAGCTAGTCTTCATTAGCTTTAAGTTTTATTGTTAGCTCTCTCAGAAATCACATAATTTCCTTGTTATTTTTCATGGTTCTATCAGCTTGGAAGTAAAGAAAAAAGGTAAATATTTTTTCTAGTTTTCTCTTTGTAATTCATTTAACATGTATTTATTGATTTGATAGAAATATTTTCAAAGGCAAATAAAGTAATATCCCCTTTTTGTTTTTATTTGTGTGGATTACATACATAAAAATTATATTTTTGACTTGATAATTATAGAACGTATATATGTGTTGGATGATCCCAGTTGTGTTCTAGATTAAATATAAACTGATTTTGAAATACTAATACTTTTAAAGTTATTAACTACTAATCATCAGAAAATAAATAAAAACTTTATATATTTTTCTTTGTACCAAACACAAACTAAGGTCAGAAATTCATATATTTTTCTTCGTACCAAACACGGACTAAGATCTCTTATGGAAACCTATACATAACAAGTTTATGTAGATATAGATCTTGGCATTAGATCTTAATATATCATTATACAGGTGAGGGAAGTTTTTGTAACCCCTCTATATTTACTGGTTTTATTTTCAATAAAAGTACTTTTTTTTAAAAAATATATAAAAAAAAAATCTCGTCTCTCTAGTTTATATTATGGTCTAAACTCTTGAAAATTTATTTGTGTATTTGTGCACTGCTTTGAGTAAGTTATCAAGTCTGGTCAATGTAAGATATTTTGACATGTTAAGATAAATTTAGGAGCTCGTAGATTAGAAACTGAGCGAGAAAGTCACAATTTTATTAAAATTTTATATTTTCGGCTGACTTATCTTGGTGGGAATAGACAAGTGTATCATGTCCACTTTTCGGATCGTAACATTAAGTATGGTCATTGTAAGATATTTTGATATGTTAAGATAAATCTAAGAGTTTGTCATAGAGTTATGGATTCGATATAATATAATAACTTTTATTAAAATCTAGTATTTATCTAGAATCAAATAAATTACCATGTGTCGAATTCAAAACTCATAAATTCAATTGTTAACATTCTTTACTCTTGCTCCTTGCAGTTCCTTTTACTTGTGTTGTGTTTCTAATTTTTGTTCTTATTTAAATGTGCATGTGATTAGTTGAAACATCAATCCTGTGGAAATTGAATCTGGCATAAATGGAAAAAGAAAAATGGGTTAGAAGAAGAAGAAAGGAATGCCTACCATTTGAGGAAGAAAGAAGAAGAATCAGGGATCTTATTGGTGATTTCTTGAATGGCTTGAAGAAAATAAAGAATGAATTCATTGCTTCAAAATGGGATGACATTGAAGTGCTAAGAATGGAATTGAGATTCTTAAAAACATTTGTCCTGTTTGGGAATTCGAATTTGGATGGCTTTGATTACAAGATAGACCATAATATAGAAAAGTTCCATTCTCTAACTGATTTTATTTTCAATGAAGATGAATTTATCCTAGCCAAATACAACATGGATAGTCTTACGCCTTACCTGCTGAAAGAAATCAAAAGTTATTTGAGATTGGAGAATGTAGCCATGATGACTGAGGAAAATATGTTTGAATATATGGACAGCCTCCTCAAGAACCTCCATGATCTACCAAAGTATTCTTCTGATTTGCTTCTACCCCTCATGAGTGAATACAAGATTCTTCGGCAAGTATGCAGACATCTCAGACATTTCTATGAGTTGGAATGCAACAAAATTACAACAACAAAATTTCTCTATGCTCGGTACCAAATGACAGTTGATAGAGTAACACAATTCTGTTTTGATCTTTGGACTGGAAAGTATAAAAACTATACTTTCTTTGATAACTATGCCATCTATCGATGCTCTTCCGAGATCACTTTTCTACTCATCGACATAATCCCTCTCGAGCTAGAGGTTCTATACATTTGTACTTCTAAGCTCATCAAAGAATCAAGGTCAAAAGAACTAGAAAGATGTGTTAAGCAAATCTTAAAAGCATCTCCAAGGATTCTTCAAAACTATCTGATTCTTCTCCAACAAGGCATGGCAGGTGCACTTGCTGTCAATTATGCACCAACTCAAACAATTAATGTCATGATCGAGTTCCTGTTGATCTTTCTCACTGATATACCAAAGCGATTTATCCATCATGAAAAATTGAACGATATGTTGGCACATGTTGGAGTACTTACAAGGAAAATAACTATTTTGGTGACCAAGATGTTGGAGGAGAGCTCTGAGAATAATATCAATGAAGCGGACTTTTCAGCTTCAGACTTTTTGCAAGAAATTGAACAAATGAAGGGAGATATCAGACAGATTTTTTTAAAATCCCCGGAGTCATCTCAACTTCGTTTTCCTATGAATGATGGTTTCCTCTTCATGAATCTTCTACTCAGACATTTAAATGATTTACTCATTTCCAATGCTTATTCAGTTTCTATCATAAAAAAAGAAATTGGGATGGTGAAACAAAGCCTTGAATTCCTAAGATCATCTTTTGGGAAAGTCAAAAAAACTAGTGGAGTAGTCAAAGATTGTTGGTTGCATGCTTTAGATGTGGCATATGAGGCAGAACATGTCATTAATTCCATTCTTGTCAGAGATAAAGCTCTCTCGCATCTCATCTTCTCACTTCCGAATGTCATTGATAAGATCAATCTTATCGTGGCACAAGTCACCACTTTACAGCTGGAGGATAACAATGGGGATCACCACCTCCTTGATGCAAAGTCTTCCGAAGAGACAATTGAGTCAACCTCATCATCTTTTGTTGAGGTAACAGTAGGTCATGAGGAAGAAGAAGCCCGGATCATCTGCCAGCTCCTTGATGAACACGAATCCGAGCTTGATGTCATTTCGATTGTCGGAATGCCAGGACTCGGTAAAACTACTCTGGCCAACAAAGTGTATAAAAATACATTAGTTGCTACTCATTTCAATGTCCGTGCTTGGTGCACTGTTTCACAAAAGTATAACAAGTCAAAGGTGCTGCGGGGGATTCTTCAGCAAGTAACTGTCTCGGAAAAAAAAGAAAGTGAGGATGACCTTGCTGAAAATCTACGAAGAGCACTACTCGATAAAAGGTACCTTATCGTCTTGGATGATGTGTGGGATATTGAAACAGGGGAGATGTTAATAGCATGTTTTCCAAAGGTTAAGAGAGGAAATAGAATTATCTTAACCAGCCGAAGTAGTAAGGTAGGTTTGCAAGTCAAATGCCATAGTGATCCTCTCCACCTTCAACTTTTAACACCTGAAAAAAGTTGGGATTTATTCGTAAAAAAGGTATTTGGAGATGAAGGAAGCTGCCCTGCTGAACTGTCAGAAGTTGGACACCAAATAGTTGAGAAATGTCAAGGACTTCCCTTGGCTATTGTTTTGATTGCTGGAGTAATTGTTAGAGGAAAGAAAAAGGAAAAAGATTTGTGGCTTCAGATTGAACATAATCTGGATTCCTTTATTTCTTCAAACAACAATTTGCAGATGATGAAGGTTATGCAATTAAGTTATGACCATTTACCATACCACCTGAAGCCGTTGTTGCTTTACTTCGCAAGATCTCAAAAGAACAAACGAACTCCAGTCTCTACATTGATGCAGTTGTGGATGGCCGAAGGGTTGGTGGATCATGATAGTTCAGAGGAAGTAACTCAAAGTTACTTGGATGCTTTAATCTCCAGTAGCCTGATAATGGTTGATCATATCCCCTCCGAGAGTGTTTTGATGATGTCTGCAATAATCAAGGTTTGCTATATGCATGATGTTGTGCACGATTTTTGTTCAGTAAAAGCGAAAAAGGAAAAGTTTTTCAAGTTAATCAATTCAGGTGATCCATTTCATGCTTCGGATTTCCTACACCGTCGTCTAACCATTCATACTGATGACAGCCCAATCCACAAAAGATGTGTTTTGTTCAATTCTAATAAATGTTCAGGTGGTAGTAAGCATCTCATATCTTTGACAGTGAGTGGCTGGCTTGATTACTCCAGTTACATCTGTCACACAAGACACATGAGACTTGTTAGAGTGTTGCAACTGGATGGCATTGTTCTGGAAGATTCTTTAATGGAAGAAATAGGCTCCCTATTTCATTTGAGGTTCTTAAGAATTCAGACTAGTATAAAAACTATCCCAGTGTCGTGGGTGAACCTCCAGAATCTGGAAACTCTGTTGATCAATACAGAAATAACCATGGTATTACTGCCCAGAATATTGGAACTGTCAAAGCTGAAATATGTGAGCATTGACCAGAGTTCTTTCTTTGACGAAGAGGATGCAGACGAAAGTAGAATATTGGAAGCTGAGAATTCAAAGCTGACAAATTTATCCCATGTTGATATCTCGTATTCTGAAGGCACGAATGATGCTCTGAAGAAGTTCCCAAATCTTCAACACCTTCAGTGCACCATCAGGATACCCAAGGATCATCCTACACATGGCGATTGGTTTCCCAAGTTTGATGTCCTTAACAAACTTGAATCACTCTTTGCAGAATACCACAACCCATGGAACGATTATGTTTATCCCAATGAATATCACTTCCCTAGCAGCTTGAAAGAGTTGCGGTTGTATAATTTTCTCGTGAGACCTGCTTTGTTGTCAGCAATCGCGGAATTGCCTCAGCTTGAAATTCTGGAGTTTGTAGAGTCTAATTTCGTGGAGGATAAGTGGGATGCAAGTGAGGACATCTATCGAAGTCTTAAGATTTTGAGTTTGGTATTAGCCAAATTATCAGAATGGGAAGTTGATAGGGAAACTTTTCCCAAGCTTGAGGAATTAATACTAGAAAATTGTTACGAGCTTACGGAGATCCCTTCTGTATTTGGGGATATAGACACTTTAAAGTCTATTCAAGTGGTTCAAAGTAAGCGTGAGGTTGGAGATTCAGCCATGGAAATTAAGAAAGATGTGGCAGCTTACACAGGAGAGGACAGACTTCATGTCCATATATCAGATGTGTATGAATAAGAAGAGGATGAAACAGAGGTAATTAATTTCTTACATCTTCACCCCTGCCTAATTCATTCGTTTTAATTATTTAATCGTGTGTTTGTTTTCATATCATCATCATGTATACATCTTTGAGTTCAATTTTTACTAAACGGTATAAGCACTTTCTGTTGGATGGCAATACAAGCCTGTCGTGGCCTCTGTTTTCTGAAATACTGAAATAGAAAAATGACCTCAATTGGCATCTATGCCCTCCAACTTTGGTTGAACAAGTAGACACGTGTTTTCTATGTTGCATCATTTGTGGAATTTCGCATCCTACACGTGTGTATATTTGTTCAATTTTATATAAGCTTAAGTGTCTACAAGGAATAGATGCGAGTATTAATGCATTTGCAGTCTCAGTTCATCTGATTACTAGTTTTTTTTCATTTCGTGGTTTTGGAGATGTTTTAAATTAATATTTTGAGTGTTTTCTTTCATGTAAACTGTGTATTGCTTCGCCCCTCATTAGTAATTTGTTTTATTTGCAGTAAAGCGTTGGAAATTTAGACATTGCAGATGGCTAGTAGGATAGTGAGACGGTACGCAAGGCGGGGTGTTATAGTAGCTGATTTGAACTTGGTTTAGAGATCGAAGGAGATTATTGGGTAATGCCAACATCCTGCTTATGGCAAGGCCACGAGAGGCTGGAGTTGCCCTTGCTTGGTGGAGTTAGTTAAGAAATAAAGTTGTGTCTTTGCTCTCAGCTATATCTTTTGGCATGATAGAGCACTCTTCTTTCTCATTTGCTTTTTTATTTTGTCTATAATGTTATAGTTGATGTTGAGATAACTCTGTTTTTTCATTGTTAAAACAGGTTTTTATGGTCTATTGTTAAAACAGTTTTATGGTCATTTCAAAGATCATTAGCAGTTTACTAGATATTTTTGTCCACCTTTCTTGACTTGGCAATTTTTTTTTAAGCCAAACCCGCTATAACCATTTTATTAATCCAACCTACTAAACAAAAATTATACCATGTAACTTAATATGCAATATCATACAAAATTATAGTACTATACATAATGTGTCAATCTTGTATAATACTAGTATATAAAAGGTGCATGCTTATACACAAATATAGGCTAAACCTGGTATAATGTCATAGTCTCTCTGTCTGGTTTCAATTTGTTTGTCTGGTTTTGATTTGATGAAGAGTTTAAGAAAGTAAAAAAGATTTTAGAATTTTGTAGTTTTAAACTAAAAATGGGTAGAATATACCAAAATGTCGCTTAATCTCTTGATCTTAAATATCACGTGAACAATTGAAATTAAAGAATTACCAAAAAAAATTATTTTAAAAACAAATTAAAATAGAAAAAAAGATAAACAAATTAAAATAAAAAATAGTATTAAATGACATTCATTACAAAAAAAATATCTCCGCAAATCCAACCCGCCAATTTGCCATCACTACGTCCAACTAAGTTGGCTCTCAAGTCTCAACTTCACTTAAATCTTGTGTGGTCCACTTCAAGAGTATTATTATTATTATTATTATTATTATTATTATGAGTTGTGATATTGACAAAAGAATGTGAGGATATCTATGATGGTTATCACTTATCACCAAGTTGTTGAAGCCATGAAAGATGAGGAAAACAAAAAGCCTTAGCTGCCATCCATTATAAATGAAGTGATCATTTAATTTATTCCTTTCACAATTATATTTCTCCCCAAAGTTTTAAATAAATATATTTGAAATGATGACAAAAAGAATTAAAAACCATGATCTCTAAATGAGAAAAACTCATCTTGTGCTTTGCTAATTCAATGATAGTGAGTCTTCTTCTTTTTTTTTTTTTTTTTTTTTTTTGCATCCCATAAATTCTTTTATCCTCAGATTCATTATTTTGTGTTGAGACATTATAGGAAGGCAATGATGACAATATGGTGAAAAAATAAAAATAAAAAAAACCTTCTTATAATTAATTCTAGAAAAATATAATTATAACAACAACTACATATTCAGTGAAGTGATCCCACGAATGGAGTCTAGGAAAGGTAGAGTATATATATGCAGACCTTACTACTACCTCGTGTAGATAGAGAAATTGTTTCCGAAAGACCCTCTATTCAAATACAGCAAATCCAAACATATAGCATCATCATAACAACTAAATAGTGCAAAGCCTACACGAATGGAACAAGAGCAACGCAATAGTGCGATAATCGAAACATTATAAATAAAATACAGACACGGTGATTGATATCAAAATCAAGAACTATGATAATATGGCTAGTACAACGACAAATACCAATAAGCCTAAACCTTCGAAAATTAAGACAACAACTTTAAATCTACTTATCTTCTGTCCTAATATACAACTTCCACACGATTCTATCTAATGTCATTGATAAATATTGGAGTAAATTCGTTTCCCAATTTGCGATACCAACTTTTTGGGAACTATTCTCTTTGGATCTCCACTTCTTTTGCAAGGAAGCAAATTTGCTCCCCCTCTTTTGTGTTAGTCAAATGTATGTAGTAGGATTATGTCAAGATTAAACTAAAAAGAGAAAAAAATTAAATTACAACCATTTAGCCTAGTTCACTAATATATTGTCCTTTTTTATCCTAGGTCGTATAGCTTCAAAATGTGTTATTAAAATCTTAAATAATTCAGAAGGATACAAATATAACTTGTATTTCTCAGTTTCTCTGTTATAATTTATTTAGTCTCAAAGAGAATGATATATTTTTAGATGTAATAACAATTTAATTTTAAAACATCCCTTTTATCCTTAATATAATGATTTACAACCACAAAACATCTATTATTTATTAAATCTCTTATTGTTATATTTATATATATTAGGAAAAAGGCATAAATTGCTCCCTAAACATGTACCAAAAAGTCACTTACACACTTTAACTAATGGGACGACCTATTACACACCTTAAGTACATAAAAATGTATTTAATTCCCCCTTCCGTCACCCAACTCAGGGCGCGTCTCGCTCCACATAGTTGAGCGCGTCAACACGCTAATAAAGTCATTTTTGTTTATTTTTTTAATTAAAAAAATCCAATCCAACGGTTATATTCCCATTCTCTTCTTATAACCCACCCACCCGACCCTGATGAAGGAACCCTAATTTTTCACCTGAAAAATCTAGAGCCCAAATTGAATTCAAACATAGTTCAAAATTCCTTATTTTGAATCAAAGGTAAATCTTTTTCACTATTATTCATTCATCTCTTTTCCATTTTGATTCATTCCTCTCTTTTTCATTTTGATTTGTTTCTATCTATTTTGTAATTTTTTTGAATGTTTAGTTGTTTGATTCACTGTAATTCTTATTAAGGTGCTACAATGGCTCGAAAAAACTTGACTAGGCTCTGTTTGCAAGAGGAAGATCATGAATTGGAAGAGGTGCGATGCAAACATGGATTTGTTTTGCCTTTGCTGACCTCTTGGACCCCAAGAAATCCTAGTAGAAGATATTGGGATTGTCCTTACTATGGGGTAAGTTAATCTTTTTTACGAGTTGAATGATTCGTTTTGTTGTTTCAAGAGCCATAGAATGATTCGTTTTGTTTTTAAGAATGTTAGATCATGCGATTTTTGGCTTTGGAAGGATGATTATATTGATCCAAGATCCAAATTTGTGATTCCCACGTTGTTGGGAAGAATTGCTGAACTTGAACATAGTGTTGAATCTTCTCGAAAAGTTGAAACTTCAGAAAAGGAAGTCAGCAAGCCTACTAAGTCGACCAAATCTATGAAAAGCAAAATAGATATGAACAAGATAGAGTAAAAAATGGACAATTTCGATGATGATTTAATTTGAAGAAGATGAAAGCAGTTGAAAAGGAATGGAAAAACAAATTGGCCAATTGTCCAAGAAAAGGGAGAAACAACTTTGGATTGCTCTATTGTGTGTTTGTATTTTAGGTGTAAGTTTAGTATTTCAAAGAGTATTGTTTCTGAAAGGAGAAGGAGATTCAAGGAGATTGTCATGATCTCTTCTTGTACCAAAAATTTGTAATATTGTGTTAAACTTGTAAGGCTTTGTGTAATGAAAAGATGTTAGTTGAATTTATTTGTGTAATGAAGTTGCATTTGTGTAATGAAAATTTTGCAAGGCTTCCCTTATCTTAATTTGTCTCATTTATGTTGACAAGTATTTGATTTTGTATTTGGGCATAAATTATACATTTAGTGTCTACAACTATCTGCTCAACTGTCTAAACTATACGTTTGTGTAGCCACTACTAAAGTAGTCACTAATTGCCCTCCATAAACACAGAAACCATCAACTAAAAGAGAAGTAATATTGTTACATAAATAGACATCCATAATTGCATAATCATTAATCAAAATAGAAGTTAATAGCTGTCAAAGCAGTTACATAATCAAACACCACAAAATAAAATGCAGTCACAGCTGCCAATTCATTGTCTTAAATATAAGAAAACTAAATAGGAATAAAGTGCATGGGATCCCTAAAGTGCATTGCATTGTCTATCAACCAAAAAAACATAATGTCTACATTGCATTACCAACAGAAATCTACCAAAACAAGTTAGATTGCATTAGAGCTCTCTTGGCTCAAATGTACAGCCTTAGACCTAGTCTTCATTTGTTTTCTTCCCCTCATCTATTCAAGTTGGCTTGAGGTCATAGCTTGTTTACCCTTCCATTTCACACCACATGTTGGTTTATGCCCAAGATCTCCAGTGACAACTGCTGTCACATTTCTAATTTTTTTACTAGGCATTCTAGGCTGTTTAAATGAATATAAATAATCTTAATTTGAGATTAAAGAAAAAATAATAAATGATATTTAAGTATAGAAATAGGAAACTTACATTAATAATAGTAGTACCACTTTGTGTGTGCAGTACACCAATTCCAACCATTCTTGTTCTGCTAGCAACACTATCCTAAAAAAATAACAAAATATTCAGTAAAGCAATTTATTTAAAACTTATAGATGAAGTAAATAAAGGAAACTATATCACCTTTTTTGTTGAACCCTTTGGTCTACTCCTTCCTCATCCAGTTGGAGCATTAGGTGTTGCTCTTGGGCCAGCAGCTGATGTTGGTGCAAAAGCAGGTGTTGCTCTTGGGCCAGCAGGGCCAGCAGTTTGTGTTGATGTTAGTGCAGCAGCAGGGCCAGAAGGAGGTCTTGAACTTGGTCCAGCAACAGGTCTTGAACTTGGTCCAGCAGTAAAGCTTGTGCCAGATGCAGGTGCACCAAGAGGACACTTTCTTTTATTGTGACCTTTGTTATGAAAAGTGTTGTATGACATCTTAATCCCTCTTTTGGATAATTATCCTATTTTACAAGTTTCACTTTGCTCTTTCTTCATTTTCTTGCCAGGCCTTTCTGGCATCTTCCTAACATGAGGTTGTATCACAGAAATGTTTTGTGATTCTGGCCACATTTTCATATTCATAACTGCTGAATGAAGTAGTTATATGTGTTCATGTATGTTTCTCTGTTATACCAATGAGAAATGTAGTTGATTGGGTCCAATTTTCTATGGTGAAGAGCAGCTATTGCATGAGGACATGGTATGCCTTTCAACATCTATGCTCTACAACTACATGTTTGCCTTTGAATATCTACAACATGTCTGTATGGTCCATGAAGTACCTCATACCTTGTATCTGAATTCCATTCAATGCTGCATTTCAT